AAGAATAATGTTTGAACAGGGAAAGCGAATGGGGGTTGTCCAATAGGTCTAACTCCCATCAATGCTAATTACTTTGTGTGTTTCTAAATTACACAAGTGTTACTAGAGGATGTCGCTAAAATGGTATGCAGGCTTATGTCGAGTTGGAAATTAGGTCAACAGCTATTTCTGTCCAGTGGGTAAATAAAGTGTGATGCTAATTCATGTTCCTATGTCAGTCTTGTTTTCTTTATAAAGTCCACAATTCTAGTACATGCAATTTAACAGAAGTTCACAAAAGCTATTCAGGTGCTCTTCAGAGATCTGTAGCAGCACTGTTTTGAAATGTTTCTACCAAATCAGGCAGCTTGTTTTATTAGGCCTCTTTGCACGCAGGTCTCTCGCTGTGTGGCTTATGCAACTGTTGTGGAGATGCACTGGAAGTGAGCTCAGGGCTATTGTATTGGTGTACGGCTCCTCTGGGGGCTGTAATGCATTTCATACCATCCATCAGAGGGGTGTGGAGGCCAGGAAACATCGCTTCAAGAGCGCACACAGGACACAGATGGAGAAATAAGGCACAAAACTCTGGGGTACTCTACCACTTAAGAGACTTTTTGTATGGACAAATATATTCAAATATTAGCATGGTGTTTGTTTTAGAGAACTGGTTTGGGTGTGCAATATACGTTTTGTAATGAGACGGAAATGTTATTACCACGTTTGCGTATGCATTAAACTGAAGGTGAAACGAGATGAATAGATTGGGCAGCCCTTGTTATTTTTACTCTGACCACTGACCTCGCTGAGAAGCATGAATCTGCTTGAAGCCGGTGCCTGTCCTCCTTACTCAGTTACGTACAAGCATGTGATTAAGAATCTTTCAGCTCGGCAGCTTAGAGGCTCAAATCCCCATACAGTATGGTCGTAATTAAAGATGGACAACGCAGGGGCAGTCTACGGCACTGCAACAATCTGGCTGAGAGCCACAGGAAGTAACAAGAAGGTGGCAAGAGGGTGGGAGGGAAAAGAGCTAAGTTTAGTTAAAACACAAAATAATAGGCTCGAGATTTTAATCTGATGGGGACTCACAAACACACAAAAACAACACAGCAGGAAGTGTGCCATTTCCTTTTGTTTTCAAAGACGACTTGGGCAGAGCCACCATAGACGCGGACATTTTTAAACTCAACTATAATTTACCAGTCAAAGGGTGGAGTTCACCACAGGCTGAGATAATTTCAGGTCTCAGATAAATCATTATTGCAACCACTAAATCTTTGATCACATATGCAAGGGAGGATGTCCAATAAGCATAGTTTTGCCTCTTCTTCAGGGCAGTGATTAGTAACCACTGCTTAGTGGCTGAATTCACATATCATTTAGGCTCCCACCCTTTCCTGAGATGTATGGCCCAATGCTCCTAGTGCCTTATGGTATGTTTTGTTGACCATTTTATTGTCTGGGTTATGGGGCCAGCCTGCTCCGCACCCTGACGAAATGCCTCCACCAGCAGCTCGTGTTTGTCTTCACAAGCTGGCCGATGCCTTCATACCTCCTCTGTGTAACCCTGGCACCCCGCCTGCCCTCATCTCCTACTGTGGTTTTCCGTGTCTGTGCTCCTGATGCTTCCTCTTTTCCTCCCTTTTCACACATGCAGACACGCGGCACTCTCTCACTCGCTGGCTGTCCGTCAGTGCTGGGTTGGTCTATCAAAAAGTTGGCCTCTACTTATTTGGAGATCATTAATCATTCGGTGTAGGACAGGAGGCCCCTTAATCCAGTCCCCTCCTCCACCAAGCCTTACCCAAGCAGGCTGCGGCGTGGCCCACAGCCCCTATCCCCCATGGCGTTATCAAGTTTCAGCGGTTGTAACTGTAGCACAATAAACAGAGGGGGAAGGCAAATGAGTGGAGCAAGAGGAAGAGGATGGAGACAGGCAGATACAAAGACTTGAGACGACAGAATGCAATTTCCTGATGACATTTCATCAGGGCATTCATTTTATGGCAAACAGACTCGAACTTGAAAACAAATCAACTATAAGAAATGGTGAAAATGTTCAAATTAACACCAGGGAATTGTGTTTTTGTTGCATGCCAGTGTTGCTGCCACTTTCCAGAAGTTGTGTGGTATTACTGCTAAAGAAAATGAGGCCATATCAAAGAGCTGGAGAATGTTCCTATTGTAGTGTAGTGTTTGTACAGAGGGTCCGCCTGTTAGGGGGGCTAGTGTTAGACTGACCGGGGGAGTAATATAATGCATGCATGGATCCCCCAGAGCCCATTCACGCTGTAATTGGTGTGGACAGAGCTCTTGGTGTCAGCGTTACAACCAAAAGACTTCCTCTCTTGTCCTGCTGAGATCAAGTGCTTTTCACATCACAAAATCTCACGAAACATCTTCATAATGAGCTTTAACCCGCTTCTTCCTGGGAATTTCATTAAGTGTGTCATGGTGGTTTTAAAATACATAGCTACGACTCATGAAGTAAGTATTGCACTGGCAGCACAATGAGCCACAATGATTTTTGTACAGCACACCTTGTTATTTCTGGTTAATCAGCAAACTGTTCAATATGACAACAAATGCCATGTGGGACTTTCTCAGGCTTGTCTTTTCTCTCCTTTCCCCCCCTCCTTCGTGACTTGACCGAACAGGAGCCTCTGTCTCTTTGGCTCTGTCCATCACAGGCTGCGGTCATTAATCATCTCAAGTGGACAGCGCTGACAGGCAGTTGGCTGCATCACTCTTTTATTTTCCCTTCTGTGCTATCATGAGCCTGTAGCTCCCGCAGCCGCACTCACTGGCCCAAAACCCCCATGTGCCCGCGCTGCCTGTGGCCCAGTGTCAAACCAAAACAAACAATCACACATCTGCTTAATCGAAATCTTTGAGGTGGTTAATGCCCCTCTCTGCGCTCCCAGTGGGTCAGCTCTGTAATGGATATGATGATGTAGGCTTTCTATCGCATACAGTCTGCAAGCTGTTTGGGAGCATACACATTCAATTCAATATAAGTGATGTCTCAATTTAGAGTGAACATTTACAACTAAACTTTGTGAGGAAGAAGTATGTGTACAGAAATATAAGACGAATGGGCAAAGTACTTTAACAACCCCCCCCTGACTTTACACTCTGGTCTGGTGTGACAGGGGAGTTGTAAGCTATGAAATAAGACACAAGATGCAGAGCGCATCAATGGCCTCCTTTACCACTGGACAGGATTTAGGACAGCTGCTAAAATTCCTCCACCATTCAAGCGCGCGCACACACACACACACACGCACACACACGCACGCACACACACACACACACGCACGCACACATACTGGTGCCTGTTTTTAAGCGCAAAGGCAGGAAATGGGAATCCCTCGTAAGTTTTCCTTCCGCTGTTCCTCTCAAGGCCTAGAGGCCCCATAGTGAGGTGGGAAAAGCACTTCTCCATTTGGCTTCTTTAAAGCTTCTTGTAACATTAAGGAGTATGTCCTTTTTATATAAATAAGTTATTTTGTAAATTAAAATAAATCACAGTCATTTTAGCTTTATGCTATTTACTGGGGTATTTTTTATACATTATATATTATTAGTTTAAGTGGGAAGTTTAGTTATTTTAAATACAAAATAGTAATCCTCACAAAAACATGATTCACATAACGCTGCAATGTGCTTATAATCTAGTAATTCTTGCACAAAGAATGAATAACAGTCACATACTGTATCACCGACTCACCCCAACTTAAAACTCTTAAAAGCTGCTTTTATCCTGCCTTTTTACAAAAGCCACAAACAAATGACATTAAATTATAAAGGCATTGCATTGTAAGTGCTCTCTCATTAGGAAGTGCAATAACTTGGAACTTGAAAAGGAAGGCGGGGTAAATACACTGTAATCAGGGTGCCATAAATAAGAGCTTGGCAAGATTTGCTCTTTATCTCTGATACTCCTGGCACTAGCTGCAAAGAGGAAGGCGGCCAAGCAATTTGCTCCCATTCTAGACTGCAAGACAGGAGAGGTCAGCCAAGTGTCTCTTGTTATAGGGGAGGGTGAAGATCTCACACTGGAGTAGCTGAAATTATACCCTTCAAACCTGGGCAGTGGTTGTATTAAGTCTCTATAGTCCCTGTCACAACCTCGACGCCACCTCTGTTATTTTATTTCACCTTTCAAGTGTAATGCATGTATTTAATGCAGTTTCAACAATTATGTTTATTACTTCAGTCAGGGAGGTCAGTGTTCTTTCACATAGCAGTTAGACACTTCCTTCCAACATTTCACATTTAATCTGGCTGTGGATTCATGCCCAGTTATATCTTGCAGACATCAAATCGTATGTGTGTACTCTTGACAGGCAATTATCTGCTGTCATGTGGCGTTTTAGTGAGTTTGATGGATCTCTTTGTCTGAGCAGCCTGAGCCCGGGGTCAGCAGCCTCTTCTGGTGTCTGCCACTGGACAGAGATACTAACAGGGTCCTGACAGAACAGCCCCCCCTCACACTGACCTTCTTTAATTCATCACCCTCCAAACAAGACCAGAGGAGAATGGTCCGCTTCAACAGCACATGTGCTCACAGGAATAATGAAACACACAATATAGCTCACATGTGCATACTCTCTTACATAGCAGTGCCCATCAGCCTGGTGACTAAACACTATGAAGCACACAGCTCGCACACAGATGAACAAGCTACAGTCACCCATCAAAGCTTGCCAAAACATGTACTGCTTAAGTATGCACTACTGTAAAAACACCGTGATTCACGGTGGGAGGTATAGCTTGGCCCATCTGACTTACATGGATACAGATTTGTCTGATTGATGATGGCGGAGTGAATTAGTTGCTACGGCTGGAAAGGTCTTAGCAGTGTCAAGGAAGCGTGGCGTCACTGATGGCTGCTTGCCAACTAAATTAGCATTCTGCCAGAGCTCTTAGTCTCTGATAAACCAAAGTACTGGGTATAAAAAGAGAAAAGCTAATAAAACTAATGCACATTAAGCAAGTCAAGAGACTACTCTTACCTCTTTTCTGCATAAAAGTGAAAAGGTCATCCAAAAACTCCTTTCTTTTGGGATCGTTGTCAAGCTCATACAGCTGAAAGTACAGAGAGGCAGGTTGGTGCAGTGCAAGTTGACTTTCAGAGTGGCACAAGCATAACACATGGATCAACATGTTTTAGTAGCAAGGTCAGCTTGTGAGAACATTATTGCACCCTCACCTTTGCAAAGTCTCTGGAGGCTTCTCCTCTTCCTCTGCTACTGTCTGCTTCATCTGCCCACCCAGCACTCCCATTCTGAAAAAAATTTATAAAATAGATAAACATAAAATATACTGTTTGCATTGAAATGATAGTTGAGCTCACACAGTATCAAACAGGTCATGGGATATTGATTTATTTATCTTTGTACAAATTCAAAAAATAAAAAAAACAAAGTGATGTGAAGTGAGTGACTCTAGTCACTGCTAGTTAGTAACAGACACCAATGTGCAACACAAACAACATCGCAGTCATGCGTCCATGGGCTCAAAGAATGCACTTTTCCAGAGGTTGGAGGAGTAACCTCTGGAGTTATTGTGCCCCTGAGCTTCCATGCCCCCCTCCCCCTTCATCCTCAAACATCTCCATTTGACCTAAACCATCTGCATCTGGGCCTGCCCTGCCCCCACCAATGTCTCCCAACCCAGCTGGATACAAGGGCCCCCCATCCCTCAATCTTAACGCAGCTGTGACGGGTGGCCAAGTTCATGCAGCGGAGCTGGTTGTCAGGGGCCAGGGGAGGGGTCTGGTCAGTAGCTTTTTGGCACATGCGCGCACATGCGCGCACATGCGCGCACACACACACACACACGCGCGCGGAGAGACTGATCATGGCTCTGTGTATGTTTGTAAGTACAAGGAGGGGGGCAAGGCCCCACAAGACGGGAAGGAAGGAAAATAGGGGCAGAAAGGGGTGCACGGTATGTGCAGAGCAGGAATGTCTCCTAAAGACAAAACCTATAAAAGCATCAGGAATCAAAACAAGATCCATTTGGAGGGGGACGTTAATAGCTTCAGCTGAGGCTCTAGTTTCATCCAGGAGCCATTGGTCAGTGGCAATTACAGGGTCTGAAACAAGAGCCAGCAGGCCAAAGGTTGTCAGGGCCCCTGAGAGCAAATCATTTTCACCCTCTCACTCCCAACGTGTAACGCTTGTCAACATTCATGCTTCCTAAACAACTACTCATCAGACTCAAGCCTCTCTTGTGATAATTACACAAAAAGACAGAATGTTTGGTAGTAAGATGATGATAGGGGAATGGAAAGAAGATGGATTAAAAAAAAAAGTGTCAAAGTATAATCTCAAATATGCAATCAAGTGGCAGTTGTGCATTACTTAATAACCTACAGAAGTGCATGTTTATAGTCCTGTAAAGTTCAATAAAGTATATCATACATCTGAGGACCTTTGCACATTAGGCCACTTCTGTCAACCTTTAACCACTATAAGGGCTATAACAGGAGATAAATCCAATCATGGCCATATACAGTGTGATCCAACATCATTTGCACTCAACACTTTGTAGAGCTATTCAACAGACCTTGGGCATGCCACAAATTAGCCTGCTTCCTGCAGGAAAAAAGGTTTTATAATGTCCATACTCCAGACACCACTAATAGAAAAGTGCAGCTGGCTTATCCTAATCCTACTACACGTAGTACAGCCACATACAGTATGAGCAGGACTATGTGCTGGTTAACAGACCTGGTTAACAGAATTGTTAGGAGAACACAAAAGTGTGTTTACCCACAAACGCACACATTTCCCTAAGCGACAAGTGTTGTGGCGCAGAGGGGTCAAGGTGTTTCTGACATCAAGACACCAACTCACCTGACATTACAATCTTAACACTTACAGTGTGTACTTCTACAACAAGTTCCTTTCAGTTTGAAGTATTGTCATTTAACTAAAAGATAAAACTAAGAAATTATATATGAAAAAACTATATACATTGATAGACTGACATTGGCATTGAGATATGTAAATAAAGTAGAAAAACACAAAGGCCTTTAGCATGCCTGAGAAAGGCAATAATCAGAACATTGAGCAGTTAACCATGAATAGACATGTTGGCTCTTGAATCGGGCCCTTGGTCAGCAGAGGAATGTTAACACTATGGTGCTTTTCACTACTTTTGAGTAGTGGATACCACTGTTTTGGGGACAACTCTTTAAGATCAGTCTCCTGAGCGTCAACTAAACTCCACCTAGAAATAACTTCCCACACCTCATCATTTCTGCCAGCCACAGATGTACAGTATTAATGTTCATATCCATATCATGTTTGTACACAGACTACAGGATTAACTACAGCCTTCAGCCACTGTTGTGCTCTTATGTAGTTAGCAGGTTTACCGGCCAGGCGGTGGGCTCCCTAATCACATTACGGTGCATAAGCAGCGCAAGAGCACAATCAGGGATAAGAAATTGTGCGATGAGCAGCCATGGTGGGGATATTCCAATTATCCACAGAGTAGACATTTAAAAAACATTCAATCTTATTTACAATACATAATATATATTACACAATGGACAACACCTTGAGCTCTCCCCTCCACCTGCAATGGACATTACCACACACTAGCTGAATGTTGATACGTAGCTTGGGGGTAATTCTACACAGCTATTATAGAGCGATGTTTGCAGTAAAGCCACCATTTTAGCAGGCCCAGGCATGTAGGAAGAAGAAGGGTTAATGGCTGCTGCTTAGGGAGTGGGGGTTGATGGCATTGATTGCTCAGGATGTTGACAGCACTTCTCCAATTTGATAGTTCGGCTGTTATTAGATAAAGAGGCTTGTTCTGAATAAAGCCCTCATGTGATTTGTACTTCCAACAGGATATTGGAAGAAGCCACTGAAAAGGAAACTCAATTGTATTCAAAATCAACTTGAGGTTGAGTTTAGACAGTGATATGGGGAACTTCTAAGAAAAGCTGTAAAATTAGAAAAGTTAAGGCTGGACATATAGCTAGTATAGTGTCATAGATGGGGATGATATGAAATATTGTAATATTGTGACACTCAGATGATTTTCCTATAAGTTGCAAGACAGAGACTGTGGCTAATTGCTAATACAAAATTTTAATGACTTAAATGCTGACTGTGGAGGCTAAGAAGTGGCTAAAATCTCAAATAATGAAAGAGACAACATGTGGTAAGTTGATATAATAAGTCACTGCCTCACTCACTACAGTAGTAACTATTTAAAAGTAAACCATTTCATTATGCTTCATATTATGCTACTCCATCCATTTTCTCCCGCTTCTCCGGGGCAGTGTTGGCGGAAGAAAATGAAAATTATGCTACGCTTCTTATTTAATAAATATTGAGAACACATACAATTTTGAATAAAATAATAAAAGAACAACAACAATGCGGATTGTTTTTTTGGTTTTTTTCTACAGTCTACATTTTAACAGCACCACTAACTGGTACTGAATATAATATGCTATACTGATATATTTTTTTATATATTGGCCCCGTTTTCAACATGTGATGCCTACATTTGAGTAATTGTATGTAATTTTAAAATGTAGATTATTGTTCTTTAGGACCTGCACCCTGCCTTGCAGAAGACATGAGTTCTGTTACACCAGATCTGCCTGAGCACAGTTGTTGTTTTGTCACCTCACAGTGTGATCCTATATGGACTAAACAAGACCTAATGAAGAGAGGCACGTGTCGGCCATATTAAAGCCCAGTTAGCCATGAGCTACGCCTCTAACCCCTGTCGTCCCACTCTCGGCTACTGTCATAGCTGTGTGTGTGACCCGGCCCACACAACCCCGTGCTGCAGATCAAGTCCCTGGGGCCGCAGCCATTGAACACAAGTCCAAAATCAATAGACCTGGATGTGCAAACACAGGGAAGTCCCCCCTGCCCCCTCCGGACGCAATCTCACAGCCCACGTCAATACTCATCATCCTCAGTCATCTCGCACCGTGCCAGGGAAACTGAGAAGAGGGCAGCAGGCTGGCTCCTGGGGCGACCCACCTCTTCAAGACACATGAGGCGCCATATTGGATCCCCCACAGCAGTCACCAAGAGTTTGTAAACACAAACACCTTTTCTCATTGATTATAAAACATGCACGGTCAAGCAATATCTCTATAGCAACGGAAAGCAGTAAATCAGGGCTAAACTGCAGCGTTGTCATCTCTGAAGGAGCCCAATGGCAACTTCAGCAAAGAGGAGACGTAAGACATTCCAGTCACAGGACCTTACAATAATAGGAGAGTCCACTCATCCCACAGGTACTCTTAACATCTCATTCCCGCTCTAATCTTTTTTAGCCAAATTGCTACCTGTCAAAACAGTTCAGAGGAGGAAATCTATTGAACAGACATAACAGCAGTAATTTAATCACAATCAAACCCTGCAGCAAAAATGTGGAGCAGAGCCAACTAGAGCAATAAAATTGGAAGTGCCTCAGCTATTTCAGCGATTTTTTTGGCCAAATGTTTTTTAAGTCCAACATTACTCTTTTGTTTTTGTCAACAAGATAATCTCTACAAAAGCTGTGAAAGTGAATCTGCTTCCTCTCTGCAGGACTGTAGAAGTGAACATTGTGGGGGGGTAGTAGCCATTTTGTAATCCAAATCAAATAATTGAGGCCTTGATCTCTCAGCGGGAATCCAAGCAACATTTATGGTGCCTTTTACTGCGGGGGAGGGGCTGATGGGGGAGTGGGCGTGAGAGGTGGGAGTTCAGCTCAGCGTATGGCGGCCTTTATCTGTTAACTACTGTAAAGGATCTCATGGTGAGCTGGCCCATACGCTACGTCCGACAAAGACTGGCTAATCGTGATTCCATGTGCAACTGGTAAATCTTATGGCCACTTCAGAACATATGGTACAGTTACTGCACACAGACTGATCCCATGTTGATTCCTCTGCCTTTATTAAGACTTACTGTACTGTAGGGTATAAAACAGCCAAGAGGAGACTAGAACAGGGGCATGACAATGTTTGAGGGTCCGGTCATTTCGGCAGCTCAAAGAGAGACATCTCCCTTTTTTGGGGGGGGGGTATAATGGGCGAGACAAAGGGGGATAAACGTCCAGAGGTGAGACGTGTTGCTACCTGCCCTGGCTTTGGTTGTGCACCTTTTAACAGGCCACTGAAAAACAGGCCTCAGGGAAAAAAGACCACCTCTCCCTCCATTAATCACTCCAATTACAAAGCAGCAAAATTACACAAAAGATAACAATGGATCACCAAGTGTATAGACTTGAAAACAGACACACTACTTGTTG